GGGGGGGTGCCGAGCCGTCAGTGGCCGTATCTCCTACGCCTGGTGTGTGTGGTCGGATTCCCACACTCTCCTTCGTTGGGAAGCTCGTACGTTCGTCACGGCACGTACAAACAACGTGATGGAGGCCCAGGGTCTCTCCGCATGCCTCTTGTGGATCCGTTTTGCCTTTCCGAACTGCCATACCTACGTTTTCGGAGATTCTAGTGTCGTCATCAACCAGGCACTGATGCTCAATAGGTGCCGGGCACCCTCGCTCCGACCCTGGATCGGGGCCATCCGCGCCCTGGGCGCCGGACATACTGCGTTCTATCTCCAACACGTGCGCCGTGCGTACAACATCGCGTCTGACGCCTTGTGCAACTGGATTATGGATACGACTTCCGCGGCGGACGTCATCCTAACCGGATCCGGGTGGCCTTGCCAGCCGTCATACGCGCCGTCTCAGAGCCCTGCTGCGCTGACCCAGTTCTACCCATCAGTTGCCTCGGTCGAGGCCAGTCCGAGGAAGTACGTATTGGCGGCCTGGTCCCTCATACTCCAGGAGTTCATGTCCGTCTCACACCTGATTCGGCTTCGGTTCGCACCGACCTCGGCGGATCGACCTATACACCCGCCAGTTCGACTTCCAGAATCATCCCAGAGGGTGGAAACATCGGCCCGCTCGATGTGGTCCCGATTCGACACAGCTCCGACCCGGTCGTGCGTTGTCCTAGGGCTTCGACGCTGCGTTCCGGCGAGCGTGTTTGCCCAGCTCCAGGCCGAGGCCTCCCGTCGGCACATACCATTCCCGTTGGGGACCGCGTTCTTAGCAGCTGGGCCGGGCCCGTTGTCTACTCCAGAGGTCGACCTCCGCATTTTGGATGCGCTCGTGGCCGACCCCCAGCTGGGGATAGCCGGTACGCTCGAACTCTTTCGCGGTCAGACTTCGGACGACTACCGCCCGAACAAAGCGCTACGCCCGTGGTTGTATCATAGGTATCTTGGGTCGTACCCGGAACTTACGTTACTCTGTCAAATCGCCCAGGAGGGTTTGACTCCACCGTGGAAGGACCCGACATCGCGGGCGGGCACACGACCAGTTCCTGCGAACTACCCAGGCGCCGATACGGGTGCCGAAATTGTCCAGGACAGCTTGCTCTCAGACTATTACAAAGGACGTTGCCTGGTCGCTCGGATGTCTACGCTGGTACAGGACCCGACATTCCAGTCCAGCGCGTTCGCCCTGGTCCCCAAGAAGGACAAACCTCTTTACGTGGATGGTCGCATCATTCACGACTTGTCGGCTCCAAACGGCCAGTCGGTCAACGCTCAGACTGCCTCTGAGGCGTCGCCGGATGCAACGTGGGATCCGTTTGTTTCTATAGCTCGCAGAGTCTGCGACCTCCGTCGGCGGTGCCCAGGGTGCAACATCTACGCCATGGTCGCGGATATCGCCGATGCATTTCACCACGTGCCGGTCCACGCGCGTCATGCATCGGCTTTTGGGGGCTCCTTGCCGCGTAGTCCTCATGGCATAGTTTCCGGTATGGCTGTTTTCGGTTGGACGTCCTCCCCTGGATTCTTCGCGGTGTTCGAGAAAGCAGTCCGCCATTATCAGCGCACAGGATTATCGATACTGCTTGGCCACACTGAACCATTCTGGGTCTTCCAGTGCGTGGACGACATCGTCCTTATCGAAGTCGACTTTGGCGATCGACTTCAACAAGCAGACAAACGTCTCAGAGACGGAGTTAAACTCGTGTTTGGATCATATGGATGGCATGAGAGCAAGTTCACGACCTGGTCGCGCGTTTTCCATGCGGTGGGGATCGACTGGAACATTCCAGACGAGTGCATCACAGTACCTCAACGCAAGATCGACAAGGTACATGCGGTGTTAGCTGAAGCGATTGGGAAGTCCTACATATCCATAAAACGATTGGACAGCCTCATAGGTGTTCTACGCCATGTCATCAGCTTCATACCCATCACTAAGCCGTTCATACAGCGTTTGACAGCGGTTCAGAACCGGTGTCGGAAAGAGGGCAAGCGAGGAGTTCCAATGTCAGCATTCCTTCGGAAGGACCTACTGTGGTGGAACGACTTGGTGTTCGAGAACGAGTTTGCAGGCTTGCCAATGAAACTGTTTGAGAAGGACCCGGGCTATGATGAGGTATGGCTGGTGGAAGCAGATACAAACGAGGTGACAATTACAAACATGCACCTCAGAGAAAGGTATCATGTCGAATTCGAGGACCCCGTCCTGGACGGTGGGGGAATAGCTGCGGCGTTAGCTACGGTAACATACGTGGGGGGACAGAAGCGGAAGGTCGAAGGCACCTGGTGCCGCGTCATGATTCACAGCAGTCGCTGGATCACCAGGATGATCGAAAGTATGAATTGCAAGTCGCCTGTCGGACAGCACGACCTACGTCGATGTGCACTGAGCCAGGCTCGTTACAAGATTCATTTCACGACACACACTCTGAGTCGAAGGATGGAGCAGACTCCGAGGTGCGATGTTCATACAGAAACTAATACACGTGGTATGAAACAGGTACAACCAGTCGAGGCTAAACGGGATCAGCCCAAGCGTGCGTCCATCACAGAAGGCACGCTTGGACGGTACAGTAGGAACTTCGAGTTCTGGGAATCCTTCTGCAACGAGTTTGGTTTTCCCGTGTGGATTGACGAACTGCCCAGGGCACGACAAGCGAGGGTGGTTGGATTATTCGCAGCGTTGTGCGCTTCAGAAGGGCACAACCGAGCGAGGAAAGGAAACAAGTACCAGACATTCGAAGGAAAGATGGCAGCTGTGGCATTCGCACACAAAGTCGTTCGGAACGGCCGGCTCAATTACCATGATCCGGAATTTGAGCTCATCGCTAAGGGTTACAAACGTACCCACAGTCAAGTGGATCGGAAACAGCCAGTTACTACACCAATGTTGCTCAAGATGTGGGAACTCATAGACCACCATGACCCAGAAGGTCAAATGCTGTGGGGATCCATGATTCTTCTTCCTCGACAGGAGCTCAGAGCTCTGGGGACCAATAGTTGTGGACAGTTCCACTGGATCTGACAGGGTTCGCTGTGTGAAGGCAGCCAACGTGGTTATACGAGATCGGAGTGGAAACAAGGTTGGATACGAAGCCCCAGGGGCGGCCTCAGTAGAGGTGGTATATGACTCTCACAAGGGAGACAAAAGGGCGCAAGGCGTCACGGTCCGCCACTACAGAACCGAGCACCAGGTGCTGTGTCCAGTTATTGCGGCCCAACAGTGTTTAAGAATTCGAGCCGAGTGGCTCGTATCTGGTCGGACCCTGGGTCCATATTTGACGTCGGTGTCAACAACACGCACAATCAAGAAGTCTCGTGTGAGTGAGGCGATCAAGGCGCAGCTGCAAGCATGGGACGCTCAAGGAAGGACTATTCGGCCCACTCTCTCCGCATCGGAGGAGCGTGTGCACTGCTCGCAGCGGGGAAAAGCGAACTAGTCATCCGACTAATGGGACGGTGGTCCAGTTGGTGCTTCACAGTGTACACCAGACTAAGACCAGGAATGATCCGGGATGCGGCAAGTTGTATGATCAAGGCCTCGACTTGGGAATGCCACGAACCCGGCATCGTGCCGAGCCAGGCTCCGAGAGGGGAACTCCAACGAGTCTAACTCTTCAAGCTAATCAAGTCAACTTGCCCCTAGCAGTGATGTCCGAAGGAGGAAAGTGTTCGGTTAAGTACGAAGAGCGTAACCGGGCTTTTCCGAACCGGAGCGAACGGCGAATCCAGACCATTCACCGATTCGCCGCCCAGAGCTCAGAGCACCGGACGACCAAGTAGCGCAGAGCTACCGAGAAGAAGCAACCAGGTTGCCAGGAATTTTTTTCTTCTTCTCCTAGTTTGATTAGCTAAGTAGGAGGTCCTTCTAGGACGGGTTTTTCACCTTTGATAAGGTTTTGTCCCGTGGGAGGACCTTAGGTTAGGAACTCCAACGAGTCTAACTCTTCAAGCTAATCAAGTCAACTTGCCCCTAGCAAGACCCCCCGAGCAGTAAAGCGCACTACCGTCCAGAGTATTCTTAAGCGGTCCGCGGAAGTTGCCGCCTTGGCGGACGCCTATCGCGACCGGAAGCGCTGTTGCGCGCCCGCGATTCGCGCGTCTGACGCCAAGATTATGCTGAAGATTGGCGTACATTTTGTACTGAATTAACAAATAAAATATCAGTGCACTGGATTTGCGTTTGTTTTTTGCTTTACGTTGTGCACTTATGCCCTGGCACTGTTGATATGGTCCGCCCTGTCGAATTGGAGGTGCACGACTGTACTGCGTTTAGAGAACAATACTTATATAGGTATTATAATAGTAAATTTGGTGAATCCAAGAGGATTCGCTGGAAAAGTGCTAACGGTAAGTTGTGCCTAGTCTTCAGTATGAAGTGGGTTCGAGATCATGCAGTTAACTCGCAAGTGCCGATATTTCACATACCATCATCACTCTCACGTACGTTATCAAAGTGGTAACCATCTCGGAATACGCTCGTTGTGGACCGGAATATTGGCATCCATTGGGAGAGTCGCACGAGACCCCGTTCAGAGCCCAGAGATACATTTGCACGCGAGATGGTAGACAGCGAAGCAATGGACGCGAGTTTTGAGGCGGCCATGGCAGGCTTCCTCCCCTGCCGTCAATAGTTAAAAAAAAACTTTTCGGTGGAAGGCACTTGCTGCCTTTTTGATGCACACGAGAAAGAAGAACTAGACAGCATCGAGAGAGCGAAGCTGAAGGCCAACGAGCGACGCGATCGTTATCGCAAACTGAAAAGTAGACGCTGAGACGCCAAGAGCGAGAGAAGCTGTGCCAGCTACAGACTGCGCAAGCGAAGGCAAAAGAGGCTGAGCGCTTGGAGAGCCACTGCGGCACGGCAGAAGGGAAAGCGACTAGAGGCAGAGCAGGAACAATTGCAGCTCAAGACGGCCGTGCTCCGTCGAGCCGAGTTGATCCGCCATTTTAACGCCTTGCTGATGGCGTCGGCCCCATTGAAGAGCCTCACGTCGAGTGCGAACGCTATGCCAAACCAGGAAACACATGGTGTCATGCTATTCAAAACGTTCGTGCGCGAGTTAGACTCGCTTTACGCCAAAACAGATAAGTTGGTTGAGGGTGTGCACTGTAACGTGTTGTCTTCAAAATGAACCGGACGTGGAATCAAGACAAGACGCTACTGGAAAGCGCAGACGCGACACATATCCAATTCGCCTTTGACAAAACCTGGCGCTTGTTGTCATCCGTGTACCTGTCAGATCCCAAGGGGTGTCACTTCAAAGGCGAACTATTAATAGATGATCCAGAGAACACGGCGGCGATAACGTATTGCGTCAGCTACCCGTTGGAGCCTGGCAGCTCCACATCGCTGGTTATCTACAATGCCGTGAGAAGATACGTGGAAAAGGACGTGTAGTATTCGTGTGGCGAGTGCAGTTCGACGGCTTGTATTCGGACGAGCACGCGTGGCTGGTGGTCCGACCGTCCGAGTCGCCCAACGGACCTGCAACGATGTTGCAGAGCTTTACACAGCTCAAGCTCACGAACCTGGATGGAAAACAGGATATCAACGGCTCGCGTAGCAATCTTTTCATGAGGCTTGTGAAGATGTCGGACGAGGAGGATCTCGCAATGCAGCTACTGCTAATAAGCGAACCCCAGTCAGGCTCTCCGTCCAACTTGGACGTGATGGAACTGTAGGTGATACATGTAACAACATTCAATAGACGCAGTGCTGCCTTTGCTGTGCGAGATATCATTTCGCCGTTGTACTGTAGTATCCCGTTACGCGGAATGCGCGACTCATGATCATTTCCTGTGGCGTAGTACACGAACGAACATAAACCCAGCGAAGAACAAGTCGAAGATGGAGGAGCGGCAGCAAATGGACGCTACGCTGGCGGCGGTAACACAGTTCCTGAGCGAGTACGAGCCGCCAGTAATCGCGAACGCTGCTCCACAACCACCGCTTCCTGCCGTAGACGAGTTGCTGCTCGCGAGCCAGGTGCTGGTATCGCAGACAGAGCTGTCCCTGGCTCAGAGCTCCGTTACGGAATCCGTGGACACAGCTACCGGCTCGGCCGAGACGGCGTCGGACAGCGATCGGAACCTGGCGCGACTGACGACAGCCGAGCGCCGACGCAAGATCACCAACGCGCAGGCGGCCAAGCGGCGGGTCAAGTATCTCAAGCGTGTCAAGGACAAACGCGAGACGTTAAAGCGTCAGGCACGAGATCTGACCGAGGATCTCCAGGGGATGAAGGATGCCCAAGAGAAGGCCAGAAAAGAGGTCGAGAAGGCCGACGCCCTGGCCACAAGCGTATGGAGGGCCACGTGTATCCGCCAAAAGGAGCGCCGGATGGAGTCCGAGGAGCAGCAGCGACGTCTCAAGGCTGCGGTGATCAGTCGAGATCAACTTATCCACCAGATGCACTCGCTGCTGCAGCATCGTCTCGCGAGCAGCCAGCTCGAGGGTCTCATGTTGCTGGAAGGCAAGGAGAAGAAGGGAACGGCGCTCTTCAAGACGTTCGTACACGAACTGGACACCATCCACGCGCAGACGGACGAAGTGATCTAAAACTCGGACGTCAAATTCTCGTCCTCGCTTATGTATAAGCGGACGTGGAAATGGAACCAGGGAATGACATTCCTGGAGAGCGCGGACGCGACCGTCATTTCCTTCGGCTTTGAGCAATCGAAGCACGCGGTGACGTTCGCGATGCTCTCCGATCCACGTGAAAACCCTCACAGCGAAGGGATTGAAGACCCCGAGAACACTACAGTCTCAACTTATCGCTTAAACTACTCGTGGGAATCGGGTGAGAGCGTGTCGTTTGCCGTGTATTGTGCGATCCGACGATACGTCGAATTAGATCGCGTCGTGTTTGTGTGGAGAGCTCGCAGTGAAGGCCAAGGCGAGTTCGACGGCTTGGCCATGGATGAAACTGTGTGGGTCGTGGTGCGACCGTCGGAAGCCCACACCGAAGAGAACCCGGCGACGGTCTTTGAGATCTACACGCGGTTAGTTCCGACCGGGTTCGGCGGACCTCACGTCCCGCCCAGGTTTGTCAGAATGTTTGTGCGCTCGGACGAGGAAGACATCACGTACATGATGCGGCTGCTGGAGAAGTTGCTGGTGCATCAGAAAAAGCCGAACGAGCAATCAGTGTCTGTTTAGTCAGTGAGAGAAGACACTACGGACGAACTTGAAAATGCCTTACTTTAATTTATTAAGGCCTCGTTAGCCGCATAGCTCAATCTTCCTCCATTGGCATCGGTTTCTCTACCCCATTTTTAATCTTTGGCTTGAAGTTAATCTGCAATGACAGCGCCAAGTCGCCTACAAAAACAGCGTCTGTGATCGTGAGGTTCTCGCCGTCCTTCACCAATTCACGCAGCGGTTTGACTAGATTGGGACTGGTAGCAGCACGCAGAGCTGGTGGACCCTGCATAAACAAATTCGCATTGGCCGAGCTGATTGAGGGTTTCAGTAGTCGAAAGTCGTCGCCGCAAAGCTCGTCAATCAATTTCTGCAGTGTCATGGTGTCTGGATCCACTTGCAGCGACTTTTGTTGCGACGAGCACACGACGCAATCAGGTTTTCGGTCGTACTGGAACGTGTGCGAATAGCAGCCTGTTGCGCCCATATGCATGTGGTAATTGTTCATCAAGCGACTGCAGTAGCTCATGGCCTTGAACGCCTCGCTCACACACATGGCTGACACCACTGCATTAGTCGACGCTACTGCTGGGATGATATTCTTCACCACCCCCAGCGTTAAACTGTACGTTACACCAGCGATTCCAAACTGTTCAGCCCGATCTCTAGCAGCTTGATAGACCCACTGCATGTGTTCGGGTGAGTCTTTATCCAATTTCCTCTCGGGATACTCTCGTGGCCAGAGGACAATGAACGCGTAGGCGATACAGTGTGCTGGTTGTCTGGGCGTCTCTGCAATAGTACACATAGGGAAACTCTTCTGCGGTGGGAACGTCTCGAGGGAGCACTCGAAGCAGCTCGTGATCCTGGGGATAATGACACGCGCCTGACCACGCAGACCTTCAGTGCCGCCGTCAATAAGAGGAATGATTGTAGATGGATCCACTTCTCCGTCCTCGTCCACTTCAGCCAGCGACACGACGAGTGAGTTCAGATAGCGACGTGCCTCGATATTGTCGAGACCCGAGAGGATCACGTGGAACTGGCGATAGAAGTCCGCGTCCATGTCCTGCACCTTCTTAAAGTGCGGCGTGATGTCCACCTTCGTGTCCTCTGAGGTCATGCGAGTGCGAACAAACGCTGCTGCACATTCAGCCTTGGGCTTGCCCACGTCTGCGGCGCGGAATAGGAACTGACGGTTCAAGTTGGACACGTCGATCGTGTCCATGTCGATAATGTCCACTTTTGTAAAGCCTGAGAGCACTACGTTCTTTAGTAATTCGCATCCTAGGCCACCTGCGCCGATAATTAGGACGCGGCATTCGTCCTGCAGGAACGCGAGCGTGTCGTGCGCGGCGTCTGGGTCGAACTCGCCGAGGGCCACGGTCGATGTTTCGGCGGGGAAGGCTGTACGATGGTTTAACATGCGCGCCAGGTCCCAATGACGCTGGTTGCCGCGAATTGAGTGCAGAGTGTTGGTCTTCATGGTGCCGGAAGAGAAGGTTGTGGTCAGCGAGCAAGCAGGTGCAGGACCAGGATGAGTGAGCTTGGGCTTCTTGTGAGCAAGAGAAGGTGACGGAGGAGACGCAGACGGTGAGGCCATAAACGTCGCTCCCAGCGGGACAAGCGGTGGTAGCTGTGGGGAGGCGGCGGATGAGAGAGTGATGGTCCTGCGAGCGGCAACTCGACACTTTGGGAGGAACGTTCGACAGTGAAGGAAGCAGATCTTGATGCGCGGTGTGGTGTACGTAATCTACTGTGGTAGACATCAATCTGATGGTAGAAGCGAAACGACACAAGTTGAAGCAGTTGAACGGAGGATCATGGTAGCGAGCACCAAGACTTCAGGTGGAGCCCTGAGGACCAAGCCGCACATCCTGGGCGGCAGCAACAACCTTGTGGCGGAGCGCAATAGACGCGAGAAAGTGGAGGAAGCGCTGCAGACGACGCAGCAGAATCTGCGCACAGTGGCGCAGGACTTGACGCCGCAGGTGCACAAGCTCGCACAGGCCGTGGAGGTGCGTCCGATGGTCTCGAGTACGACAACGTTGCCGCAACGAATATTGAATGCCGTATCACTAGGCACTTCAATTGGAGAAGCGGCACCAACTGCAGCTGGACGAGGCGTCGCAGGAGCTGCTGGAGACTCTGCAGGAGCAGATCAACGAGGTGGAAAAGCGACAACAACAGTGCTGCGTTGTGGACTGCCGCATCGAAAACGCCGTCAAAGAGCTGGATGATCAGTCCACGGCAGATCGATTTGTGAGCACTATAATAATTGGGATATTGTTTTTGCAGTCGATTATTATCTTACTTCGTCTACCCCCCCCCCCCCCAACTCGATGATCAGGAGCTGCGAGAGCTGATTAGCAGACTGCAGGAAGTACAAGACGAACAGGCGACGGAGATTCGACTACTGCATCAAGAGGTGGCAACGATGTTGCATAAGATGTTGTAGGGGGTCCATCAAGATTGTTACATGATGACTAATAGTTTGCTGTACTGCACGAGTATAATAGCTAGGCGCATCGAAAACGTTTTTGGCCCAGAGGATGAATGCAATTGAAGACGCAGTAACCAGCGTCCGAAGCGAAATTGCTCGAGGCAGCGAGGAGCAGCACGCGAATGTGCAGAGCCATGCGGGAAAACTTGATGAGTTGGATGAGAAACTGTTCGCGCTGGACAAGGAGCTTCTCAAAGTGAAGTTGGCGCTTCCAGTGTCCGTGAAGGCACAGATTCCTGCCTCGTTCACGGACCAACGCTCGGCTTCCATAGCTACAGGGCGAGCAAGTCGAATGGATGTGACATCGATTGACGACCTGGCCGTCTCTTTTAGGATCCAGGAACTAGCGGCGGATCTTGAGGCAGTGTGAGTCGACATTCGACGCATGCCCAGCTCCATGCATAGCGAACTCTAAGCTCACACCCTCCACTCGTTCTTCTTTCAGGAAAGCAGACTCGATAGCATATCGATCAGCGGACCGACAGCAGTTCGACGCATTAACGAACCGCTTGCGTGAGGCAGCAAAGAGCCACCACGCATTGAAAAAAGAGGTGGAAATCCGTCTGCAAGACATGCGGGCTTGCTACGACCAGGTTCGTGGGTGGAGCCAACATGAAGAGTAACACACTCTTATCCAGCTTACGTTATGTATCTATCGATACGTCCAGATGATCATCAAAATCCCGAGTGAGCTTTCGAGACGCCTACAAAAAGCGCAAGCTGCATGGGACGACGAGATTGAGACGTTGAAGGCGTCTGTGCTTACCTTAGAGGCATTCTACAACGTACAGAAGCGGAAAGAGTCCATAGCAGCGTTTAAAAGCCAATCCAGTTCGCGTTTAGTTGACCCAGAGCAGCAAAAACTCTTGGAACATGTCAAACGCTTGCAGAGGGAGCTCAGCAGCCTCCGCGAAGAGCACGATTCACATCGTACACGTATTGACGCGGATTTGTTGGGTCTGTACGACTGGACACGGAATCAGGTGACTTCTATTCGCAGACCCTCAGGAGAGTATGAATAAGGTAGAGTAGGGTTCAGTAACGAACAATGTAGGACAGTTCTCACTTCTTCGTGTACTGTTCACTTCTTTGTGTACTGTACTACCGTTGTTCTACTATAATACACAGGATAATATTCTCCCACACCAAGGTTGCTTGGCTTGGGACATTCTGAGAGTAACGTCACAGGGCTCGCCCAGCTGACAGGGCTACAGATTTTCTGGTGGATCACAGAAGAAACTCACGGTGAATACAGGCGAAAGCGATTTGCAGCCAAACTATTTTTCTACCATGTGCCTTCACGAGTGTTCGCCCGGATGGTGAGCTTGTGGCCTCAATATTTTGAAGGCATATTAATAGGAACTCTATACCGACTGCTCAAGTGAAGTCTCAGGCTTTTCCGTGGCCAAGTACTGTGTAGCGATCCTCATTTTCGATTTCGCCTCCGCAAGCACAACCAACCACCTCAAAAGTGAATCCGACTCAGCCATGAAGTTCGCCGGAATTATCGCATCCATGGGCCTTCTGGGGGTGGCTACTGCTGGTTCGGGTGTAGTAGTTGTTCAGTCACCCACGCAGCAGTCGACGCCAGAGGTGACTCCGGTCGCGACGCCGGCTGCGACGATCCCTTCGTCATCTTCGGCTCCTGGAGCTGGAAACTCGAGTTTCGCTCGCTTCTTCGACCAAGAGCGTTTCCATGAGATGTTCCCGGACGCTGTGGAGCTCTACAACTTCGATGGTTTGGTAAACGCAGCCAGCAAATACACCGAGTTCGCTAACACTGGCAACAACACGAATGACAAACGCGAGCTGGCGGCCTTCCTAGCTCAAACGGCTCATGAGAGCGACAACTTCAAAGCCGCGGAAGAGTACGCCCGTAACACCTACACCGTGTGGCAGTACTGCGACAACACTACGTACCCGTGTGCCCCCGGTCGTCGCTACCATGGTCGTGGCCCCATTCAGCTCTCATGGAACTACAACTATTACAATGCCGGCAAAGCGCTAGGCATTGATCTACTAAACAACCCGGACATCGTAGCGAACGACACCGCAGTGACGTGGATGACTGCACTTTGGTACTGGATGACTCCCCAGGGCGGTCGCATCATTCACGATGTCGTCGCTGGTGTTAACGGATTCGCAGAATCAACTGATATCATCAACGGTGCGCTTGAATGCGGCCCGGACGCTCCTAATACGGCAAACGAGAAACAACGCATCACGTACTTCTCCAAGATGTGCAAGGCGCTGGACGTGGAACCTCTGGGCAACACCTCGTGCAACGCCTAGACTACTCATTCATTGCTCGCTAATGGATACACATCGATATGAAGTACTACGTAGTAAACCTTTATTCGATACACGAGTAAACGTCCACTTTTTCGCTAAAGTAACTATGCATCTCGAGTTTGACCCCCGCGAAGCCCGAAGTATGGAGCCGGCAGAGCGAGATCGCGAGTAAGAATAAGGAACATGTCATGGTAGAAGGAGATTCATCAGAGATCGTCGTATTAGGCGAGGTCTCTCGTTAGGCGTAGTTAGGGATAAAACCCAATCGACAGATCTTTTCCTTAAGTAACAAAAAAATGCTGCATGTACAAGCGTACACGAAAAAAAATAGACCTCCACTGGAGTTTAAGACACTGAAATGCTTCTTCAAATATCCACTTGGAAATCTATTCTTGGCTAATCTGGAGTTTTGCTTAGATATTCCTTACTCCAACTCCAGAAACTACAGTTCTCTAATAGCGGTATTTGTATCAGACTTTCAACGGTGTACATGTAATGGCCATCGCATCTCAAAGACGAGTATGCTAGCGAATAAATACCGGAGTGGTTACTGTTACATGCTCATTACAAAAATGATACGAGTATGTGCCTGGTAAGTGGTTCGAGGCTATCCAACGTAAATAGATAACTTCGCTCCCGTTACCTGCGAAATTTTTATCAATGATTTGCGTACCGCACGCCATCCGTTCAGTCGGCCATTTGCGAGGAAGAGGCAGACGCCGGAAGAAAGGGGGGCGGACAAATGGCGCCGAGCCACAGCAAGCGAGCGCGAAGCGTAAGGTGTGCGTGGGCAAAGTATATGCTGTCTACTAATCGAGGGTTTGTTTGTAGGAAAGCTCTAGCTCTAGCGTGTCTAATTTTGAACCAAAGAGCAGCAGCAACGATGAGTCTAGCTCGGTAGGGCCACCCCCTGCGAATATTCGGACCAAAACAAAACGTGTTCCCGTTAGCAAGGAGGAAACTGCAGCTCTGGGTTCGTCGGAATCTGTTGGGGGGTCTCCTCGCGGGGAATAACGATGCCGATTAATGAAGGAGACAGTTTTCCAAACCTGGCAGGCTCTTTTGAGCGCATTTGACGACTACTGTGAAGCTACACACCAACCTTTCAGGTATACTTGCTACTAAGAAGAAATTATGAAAAGGAAATTGACTTACTGATATGACTGGACCAGAAAAAGAAGCTCGATTAGTGCCCCAAGTCGCAACAAGGTTGGGAAAAGGACGTGGCGGTATCCAGTGGAGCCCAATTTGTACCAGATAATATTTGTGTGCACGCACGGTTGGTCGACTAGAAGTCGAGGTGAGATTATATATTTTTGTTCGGTTTACTCATGACTAATATTTGCAAAATGAATATGTTTTCAGGCGAAGGAATCCGACCAATGCAAAACTTTCGTGGCTGTGATTGTAAAGCACAGATTATTGCAACGCTGAAGCGCATCAAGGTTGCGGAGAACCAGTTTGGATTTGCTGTTTACGTCACAGAGCAGCACACGACGCCCACTCATCCATTAAACGGAGACGCTTGGAGGGCGTATGCTGAGAACCGACGTGTCGAGGACCTGGAAATTATCGAGATGGTTCGAAAGTTTGTTGCATTGGACTCTAAGTTTGACAACACTGGTATGCAAGTTAACATGTAAAAATTGAATAAAGCGGATCGGTGTGACTAGGCACGCTGAGTACGATGAGGCGATGAACCGGTTACTGAACAAGACCACTGACCACGCAGCAGAGCTATTTTTTTCCTGGATACGCGTACGCAACCAAAGTAAGTGACGCATGTGAGAGTTTGTGGTAGTATGTGATCTTATGTAATTACTTACTGGTATGTGACTTCAGATATCGTCGATAATGGCGTACAAACAGACACGAAGCAATGTATTTCTCATGAGCAGCAATGGAAGGGGAAATATCGAGTACACAGTGGACACGGAGAACTGGGATTGTACTTGCTCTTTTTCAAGGACCATGCTGCTACCTTGTCAGCACGTGATTTATTTCCGCCGAATGGTACGACAGCGTATGGATTGTTGCTTGGCTCTGTGGGCTAACTAATATTGTTGGTGATAATAAAGTTGAATAAGACTCCTGTGATTCCCATTGATACTATTCATCAGCGCTGGCGAACTTACCATGATATGCTCGATGCTACTGATGTCGAGCCTGTGCAAAACGTTCAAGTGAAAAGGATGAAATATAAACCGTATGTGCTGGATGAACGCCAGAAATGGAGGAAGTTCAAGGTACTGCAAGACAAGGTAACCGAAGTTGCCGTTGCTAATGGCACGCCACGGTTTAGGCAGTTGTACGCAGCTCTTGAAGCATTTCTAGGCATCATCGAGGCATCGGGTGTACCGCTCATTAGCGAAGCACCGTGGACGACAGTAATTGCAGTGATACTGACATTCAAAAGTGCGGGAGTGATGAAGATGAAAGGGTTCCAGAAACGCAGCCAACCAAACCTGACGAATCCAGGCAAAAGCCTGTGGCCGTACGTGTAGATGAACCCGTGGCCGCACCCACGGATACAATTACTGCACCGGAAGTCCCTGAAGAACCCACTGCCACTTTGATTTCGGCACCATTTAAGTTGAACAGGAAAGTTAAGGTGAACGGCCGACCAAAGACGACAAAGGCCACCCGAGCGTGGTATCCTAAGCAAGCAAAGCCGTCTACGCCAAAAACCATTTCGCTGGAGTACGAGAGCTCTGAAGAATCCGACAACTGCATGACCCCTGAGCAGTACAAACCTGGACCAATGTCATTTGAACTCGTTTGTGATGCTCCATACGAACTCTTCACGTACAATGGTTGGTACGACTTAGCGATGAGTATCCCAATTGTAAGAGTGCAAACTATGGTAGTACCCACAGCGTACAAGATCCAGAAAGAAGATTATAGCAGACTACCAGTCCGTGGAAAATATAACGTACTTAGCGCAGGACTGGTGAAGTTAGCGACCAAAGCTGTGACGTCGTACAAAAAGGCGCTGGAACGGGAGGCAAAGGAATTGGCAAAAACTACTAAGATGGAGACGAAGACCTCGCTAGACAAGCACATCGATCTGTCTTCTGAGAGTGGCCTAGTTGTCAAATTTTACCCGAGCCTTGATGAGAACGCGACGGTGTATTCGGATTCGATTATTGATACTATGGCACGTTTTCATGAGAAGCGCAAATTTTTAAAGAACGTGGATGCTTGCTTGAAATGGATTGTGGCTCAGGCACAAAGGAGATCAGTGGCTGTAGACCGTGTCGATGAAATAACCTCGGCCCTGCGAGAGGCATCTGTGTATGCTTCGATAAAGATCCGCGACGAAGAGGTATGTACTTGTTTTCGGTATATGAATATGTGAAGATATGTAACAGCATGTGCTTATAACGACATGATTTGTCGCTGCTGCAGGTGTGTTTCGTATACGAGCTTCTAACGTCTGGCAGCAAGGAGTGGCTTAATGATATGTGGTGTACCTGGATGGCGCCATGTTTGAACACATTAAGCCTCAGGAGATTCATCTGAACGAGAGGCTCTGTGATGTATTTGATCGGCAATCGGGTATGATACTTATTCCAATTGCCATTGAAAACAAGCACTGGTGTCTTTTAAATTGTTGATTTCAACAAGAAATACATCATTCAACTCGATCCCATGCAGCATCGACCAACCTACTCATTTTTATCCAAGACATGCAAGTCGTATCTTGCACCGCTTCTAAGGGAAAAGTATGCAGACTACACAATCAAGAAAGCCGACAATATCCGCCAAGAAGACGGGCATAATTGTGGAGTCATCGTCAAACACTACATGGAAAGCTACATCAGCACCCGCATCGTGACGAATCCAAATCAAATTTTGCTCCAGAGTGTACATAATATGTACACTCTCACTGATCTAATTAAATACTACCTCCACTCGGAAAATAAATCACCTTTCCAAAAATATTTCGCAGCGCTCCGCCTCGTTCTTTTTCATGATTATAAAGTTTGCAGAGGGCTGCTGCCTGATCATTCTGTAATACAAGTGCCACCCAGTGGGACAGCTAAGCTGTGCCAACCAAGACTGTATTCAAGGAGCTTTGACCTTTAAAACGATAATACGGGCTTTAATGCTCAAATTGCTCAACTGCGGGTGTGCTTGTTCCACCACATCAGTGTAGCTGCAGGCGCTCTTGTTCGCCATTTCAGCAGCAAGTTCGTTAAGACTACTGAATCCGTGAGCCACTACAGAGACCTTTGTCTCGAGCGTGCTAGACTTGATTCACGACAGCGGATGTCGTTGAGCGACAAGCGTGAAGACTTCGTCGCATTCATCCACTCGATACACAGGCCTTGACCGGCACCAGCAAACTGGACATGTTAGGTGTCAATATCTTTACTATCGCATGCAATAATCGAGGCCGTTGCACGATGTCTAGCAGCTAACGTTGCCTTCAGCAGGCAGCCCAGCGCACATCAACGTCTGTCACGACGGACACACCATTAGAATCATTAATAGCGAAAGCGATGCCCTTGATGACTCACCTGTCCTCACGCATTCCAACCTTAGCTGTAGGGGTCCTCACCGCACGAACGTCAGCAACGTCGCTCCTTATGTACCTGCTGATCTTGCGAAGTGGGCGATGGCAAATGGGCGGGAGATTCAAACAGCCAACAGATTTGCAGGGAATATATCGCCTTAGACGGGGTACCGCGGGAATCAGTTTAGTTTCACGGCACACTGCCTAAACACGTTTACAAGGGTATGAAGTTTAAGCAATCTGTAATCGTATTGGAAAGGTGATTTATTTTCCGAGCGGAGGTAGTAAATTAAAGGTCTTTCAGCCCTAAAACATTCGATTAGCCTACCTTCGGATTTCTCAACGAGAAATCGATTTCATTGGGACTGGTAAGATAAATCCGAGCCGATTTGGCGGCCAAACGATGACAGGTATGCCTAGTTTTTTTAATGGGAGCGGTGTTACGGTAATTCTGTATGCATGCACAGTTTAAGCGTTGCAGGAAGTGGCGCCCAGAGGCTCCACGCCCAGAGCTTCGCACATCTTAGTGAAGTACGTGATACGCTGCTCCTCGTTTGCCTTGTTGGGAGCCTCCGGTCCGCACTCGAGACCGCCATTGATGATATCGGTGGATTGAGCAAATCCGCTCTCATCGGTGACTACGTCGTGAATCACACGGCCATTCTGCGGAGTCATCCAGTACCAGAGCGCAGTCATCCACGTCACAGTTGTATCACTCGCTACAATGTCAGGGCTGTTTGGGAGATCAACTCCGAGCGCTTCACCGGCATTGTAGTAATTGTAGTTCCATCTTATCTGAATGGGGCCACGGCCGTGGTAACGACGACCGGGGGCACAGGGGTACGTCGTATTTCTGCAGTACTCCCAGACCGAAAAACCTTCATAACCATACTCCTCTGTAGCCTTGAAGCTGTCGCTCTCATGTGCTGTTTGGGCCAGGAAGGCTGCCAGCTCGCGCTTGTCGCTATCGTCGTTGCCGCTGTTGACAAACTCCGTGTACTTGATGGAGGCATCCACGAGGCCATTGAAGCTGTAGAGCTCCACTGCGTTCGGGAACACCTCGTGGAAACGATCCTGATCGAAGAAGCGAGCGAAACTCGAGCTTCCTTCTCCGGAGGAGGAAGAGGACGACGGGACTTCAGTCGTAGTTGGGGTGGCTTCGGGCGTCAACTGCGGAGTGGGCGACGGGGCTTCCGTCGTAGTCGAGGTGGCCTCGGGCGTCAGCTGCGGCGTGGGCGACGGAGCAGTGTCACTCGGACAATTGGAAGCAGAGACCATGGCCAGCAGCATTGACGTCATAACTCCAACAAATTTCATACTAAGTAGCTGGTTTCGGTTGCTCGGTAAGGTGTGACTTGCTAGAGTTGAGTCGAGAAAGAAAGTGAATCTTGCGTCGAGACTCGAAAAGCGCGATTGCTGACCTGCTTTATACCTGCAAAATCACCCACGCACGCTCAAGACAAAAACTTCGGCAGCCAGGCGCAATTTACTTTGGAGTACAGCTCGTGCCAAAAGGTCAAATTCTAATGTATCCCTTTGCTATTTCATTTAAAATTTGAATTCTATTATCTACACTGTTCGTATTCACCACACTTGCGAGGCTGTAAACCTTTTCATGCAGTGAAGTGCAAAACAACCAGCAATATCTTCAGATTTCGGTTTTCGTGCGAGACGATGATACATGTACCTATAGTACTGTACTTTGATTTTTGAAGCCATTGACATGTAAGGTATCGATGGCGTCAGTTGCATGTACGTCAATTACTGATATGTAATGACCGCCGGCCACACAGCCTTTGCTTGAAAAACACATACACTGCCTACCTTATCCATGAAAACAAGTGCCGGATGTGAGTCCTATTCGTCCGACGGATTTCATCGTCGGACTTGCATTCATTCCTTTTTTTCATTTCCCCACATAATGCCTGTATACTGAAGTCTTTTTGGTCCAACGGGGACGACGTAGCCGCCGTCCTAAGTGACTTCTTTTCGATCAACAACTGCAGACACTGATCATACAGTTTCAATGGACCGTGTCGACGCGAGCGAGCATACCGGTATTACTGTAGTACAATAATGGCAATCGCATCTCAAAGACGAAGATTTGACGTAGCGTTAGTATCTCAAAAGGCTTCATCCGACACAGTATGATTCTGTGGAATAAGGACGGTTGCTGGATGGCTGTCCTGTTTCGAGCATTTAGAACTCCAATCCTTTTCCTGAACCAATGTCGCTTATAGGCTGAGCTTAGCCGAAAAACGTGGACAGCAATAAATGTACATCGCATTGATATTCCAGTGTAAAAATTAAGCAATTGAAGGACTAGAATATAATGTATGAGACAGCGTAATACGTTTTAGCGCAGATATAAATATATGTATATATGTTATGGGCTTGAGCTTCATTTGAAAACTTTCTCCAAATACACCCAACGTATTATCTAGAAAAAAACGAAATCGTTTTTTATAGCATTTTTGGCGCTGATTCCATCGGGCTACAAGTAGCGTAAAACATCAGTTTAGGACAGGGTTTTAGGTGTATTCTGTCCTTAGCATAATATTTGATTTGTAAATCGCTTTTGTAAAAAAAGAGACTATTTTCCCCGAATGAGAAAACCTTTCCCTTACCTATCCACACACATTTCGGATGTGCTGATTACCGGCCCATGTCAAGCGTGTACGAAGTGTATACTATTTGTCAGCCCCCCCCCCGCTTTTCGGTGTCGCGTGGCCTGCTACCCGAGAACCTCGAGGCCATGGAACTCCGGACGCGGCAGGGGTCAGCGATATCGATGCGTCTGACAGCTCCCAGGAGGAGAAATGGATGCTTTCACCAGTGCCAGCTCAAGATGTTGGAGAATCTACGGGGACTACGACAAGCCTGAGTGAAGGTCATGGGCAGTCGGTTGTTGTTGCTCCACCGCCAAACGAGAGGGTGTTCCCGTCATGGGAGGCATTGGAAGGTTACCTGGTCACGTAAACAGCTCAGACGTTCTACGTACAGTTCTAAGCACTTGTGTGGCAGCTTACATCATTCTAATGTACCAATGCAAACGTGTATTATAATGTCTTAGGTCTTCCGATGACGCAATAATATGTCAGTCGGTGAACGCAACTCCAAGATCGACTCTACACTCTCATCCGCCCCTAAGACATCTGCTGCCTGGATCCAATACGCCAAGACATTTGTGTGTATCCACCATGGAAAATACAAGTCACAGGCCGGCCTCGACAAGAGTCGCGAACCAGCGGATGTCCTCCAAAGGTAAGCGTCGGCCAGTGGGGCCCAGTTGGGACCAGTTACCTTTTGTATTTCTTGACCAGACTAATGACAATGTTTGGCTTGATTACCTAGATTAATGCGTGCGTTAAGGTGGTGGATTCGGGTACCAAAACCTTCGCCGTCAATATAACGAAGTGAAATCTTCCAGCTTAGCGAAGTTGATTCACGGTATGCATCGTTGTTCCATCGATGACCATACGATTGAAAGGATGCTGGCGTAACCCATATTCCGTCCAGATGTGGCTGTGCGGAGTGAAGAAATCCAGCATTTTTAAGGTTACCGCCGATAACGCTGACTCCAATCCCACACCCCAAGACGTGCACAACCTGGTGCGCAAGCTTAAGCTGCGTGAAGCGGATGATGGAGTTTGGGGAGCGACAAGGAAATGCGGGTCGCATTTTCATCGATGAGGTGAATAATAGAGTATGAATACTGCTGTCACTTAGCTTCGTTTATGTATGAATGTAAAACTAACATGCACTGACATAAACAGAGACTTGTGACCTATATCACACTTAAACATCATCGACTCTGTCGGAGATCAATTCCCCAACACCGATGTCATCGGCTGCTTATTTCACTTTAAGCAAGCTGTCCGCAGGAGAATGCGAAAAAAACGGTATATCAAACCGATCCGCTAGTATAGCAATGACAATGGGCGTTTTGAACAGGCTTACTGTCCTTGCTATAAAACAATTGACTGTGTTGGTATCCGGTGGGTGAAGCGTCAGATTAAGGAGCGCTGCCAAGAGGATGGAGTTGCCTACAGCCGCTCGAGATGGAACCGTTTTGGCGTTACTTTAAGCGCACATGACTATCGATTTATGACCCTGCACTTTGGAATGTGCATGGAATAACGGAACGACTTATTGCTAGCACGAACAACCCATTAGAGCGCTTTAATAGGGAGCTTAATGCTGCCTTTTCGACACCTCTACATCATGCCTTACCAGTATCCGACCCGATAAATAGCTAACTGATTAATTTTGCGTAAGCAGAAGCATAAACGTACTTGCCAGGTAGCAACAATAATGCTGAATTCGCCTTCCGTTGAAGAGGGACGGTGAATTATAACATGCTAGAACATATTCCCAAAACGCCCGAGATCCCAAAAAAACATTCGTCCACCTTGTTGTTGTGATTTTCGTTGATGACATCATCCACTATGACAACACTAATATCTGCCAGAATGGATGTTCATGCAAATTTCCAACTTTTTCACGCGCTACACAGCTCCACGTCTGGTGTGAAAACTTGCTCCCGCAAGATAGCTTTGAGTCCATCCGCATCTAGCATAATCCCAACAAAGCCGGGTTTTGTGTTTGCATAACGAAGGACATGTACGTGGACTCGTACGGGCAGCCCAATCTTATTTTTATAGTGCAGCGTCACACCTAGGTGGAACCGCACGTGCAGCCCAATCTGACCTTTGCACTGCACACCACGAACGCCGAAGCGCTCATTAAACAGCTCACAAGAGAGCAGTTTTGGCCCCCAAAATCCGGAGAATGAAAGGACTTCTGGTTGAGTATCGGTCTCTGCGCCGTCTCGCCAGACTGCCGCATACGCCGGTGCTGAGATGTCGTAGCTGCATCTACAGCGCACTATTAAATGTGTACCCCGTGCCCGACTAATAAGACACTTAACTAATCGACTAGACGCAAAGATCTGGTCATTGCCATGCGAAGAGAGATAGTAGTACTAGCTTTACTGTAGCGTATTCAGCTTAGAAAAATAGTTCTAACAGGTTACAATACAGTATCGTCGCATACAAGTTTAGCAAGGTCATTTGTCTTCACCTTTAATGGACGGGTTAATCTACATGCATAATATTATTTGTGCAAAGGTAGCCATTTTAGAATGACTGTTTAGCTGAGCACTCAAACAATACAAAACGGTTATGACAGAGTATACGAAATCGCTGGATTGTCACGTCCATTTGGTATCGCCGGATGGACTCTGGATAAAATTCAGAGAACAATGTTGCCGTCCAAGACTACTTGTCATAGTGTCACCCAGTTTTCCTAATTCTCCAAAACACAATAAAATTTCTGTTCTCACGCGTGAGAACTGCGGACCCCCGGGCCACTCGGTCCGGTTCCCCCAATAAGGGACATCTGTCCTTAAAATTGACACCAGAGCTGTGAGCAGAGGGAAATAGTACCTCGGATTTTTGGAATAGAACTCTCGTATTACTATTGAGCATCAGTCATGTATATTACTCCTAGTATTTCTTCTTGTAATATCATACTGGAAAGTAATAATCTTTTTGCTACCAGATGTATTTGTTCAGGCGCATGAAAGGTCTGTTACCATCGAAGGAGACCAGGCAAACACTGTATCGTGCAGGATAAAAAAGTGTGCGATGTAGGCTTAGAGGCTAGATGCATGCCCCCAATTGGGTAGCTGGAAGAACTTTCGTCCTATTGAGAAGCAGCGCTGTCACAACATAAGTCACCCGTCTTTGACGAACGATATTGGCAACCAACTCCTTGCAGATATCTCTCTGGATTAAAACGACGCTACAGTGGACTTGAATTAGCTAGGACTATCACATTATAGCTGGAGTGTGCGAAGATGTCGTTCATGTGAAAGACACTAATGGCAAAATGAGTGGGCAGCAAGATGCCTGAGATGTGCAGTCTCCGTTGCAGAGTAAGCTACTACAAGCTATCGTCTGCTGGGGGAGCTTGTAGATTAATCTGAACTTTGAAGAGGCTGGTAAGGCCTGTGATCGGAGCAGAAAGACTTTTAATAATAATTAGATATGATCACGCGTACTTTAGTAATCTAATCTACACTATTTCCCGGCCAATTTACAAAATTTACCAATCAAACTGCAAAGTGTGAAAGAATGGTGTTTTGTGTTTAACAATAAAAGTGCATTTTTCATGTTTTGCAAATTGGATGGGTACACTTTTCAGTCAAAGTGCAAACAAGTTTTTGGCGCGAACTTCCAGTAGCGTCCAAGCCAACCACGCCACACAAGCGCGCTATTCTGCTCATTTTAAAAGATACCATCTCCTCCACAGCCCAACAAGACGAATCGTGTCTTCGAGCGAGCTCAAGCCAAGGCTCGTGTCGTGCGTGCCGACCAGGAGAGCCAGAATTGGAGGGATGTTGCCAAGGCCAACGATGTTAACTATTTTACCGCGTGTCGCGCTATCCTCAGCGCTGGTCAAGAGCCTAAACAGCGCGGCGGCTTGCGCCAGGCTTCTGTTAAGATGTCTGTAGAGGTGATGAGCAAGCTTGAAGAATATCTCGATGAGGACTGCCGTATGACGCTGGGGCAAATGTCTGACCGTGTGCAAGCCGAGCTGGGCGTCACTGTAAGCACGACGTCCGTTCATCGCGCTCTTCAGGGCATGTTGTACTCGACGAAGCGCTTGCGCATCGAGAAGGTGACCATGAACTCTGCTGCCAACAAGGAGAAGCGCAAGAACTTTGTCGTGGAGCTGAATAAGCATATCAAGAAAGGTAACATGATTGTGTTTCATGATGAAACTAACTTTAACTTATACCTGTCTCGAAATGAGGGCTGGGCTCGAGCTGGAGAACGTGCTGTTGTCCAGTCGCCGCCTTCCAAAGGCAAGAACCTCCACATCCAAGGAGGAATTTCAAGTGGCTCTGGTCTGGTTCTGCTAAAACTTATGAGGGGTCTGTGAAGAAGGCTGAGAATGCCAGGTTCATGGCAGACCTCTTCATCGCTGCTCTTCGATCCGAAGAGTACGCGGAGCTTCAACCGGACAAGGTTGTGATTGTAACGGACAACGCGCCGTCCCACAGCGACGTCGAGATCCTTGCTCGAGAGTACCTGGCTGGCGACGGTATCATGAACCTGAACAAGCTCGAGGTTCTGCGCCTGGGTCCCTATAGCCCAATGCTGAACCCCATTGAGTGGTGCTGGAACTCCTTGAAGACCAAGATGCGCCATTTTATGATGGAACGAAAGCACGAGTTTCTGGTGCGTGGAGAGTATGACTCCTTTACGGCGCACAGGTTGCAGCTAATGAAAGACGCAGTGGAAGCGTGCAAGAATGTTATTACGCGCCGACTCATCTGGAGCTATGAAAGGCACTGCCTGCGGCATTGCTTCGCTGCCGAGAGAGGCTTCGACATGGAGCTGGGCGCGTGACTTCGAATTTGCATTTTGCTTGAAACGTGTTCCCATCCGTTTTGCAAAAGTTGAAAAATCATTTTTTGTTCACTTGAAGTATCCCTGTCTCTTATCGTTTGCAACTTGCTTGGTAACTATAGCAATTTGGCCGGGAAATGGTGTACAGGCCAACACAGATGCAGCACGCCATGATGTACACCGGTGAAGAATATAATGACACTTTTCTTTTGACGTGTAAAATTGAATATTGTGCCCTGAATGTTCTGGTAGCTCTTATCTTACTATGCCGTTTCGTTTTTAAGGCTTCACCCACGTTGTGAGATTTATAAAACCAAAAGGTAGTATGTATGACAATTGGTGATATGAGAGCTGCGACTTACACTGGGAATGCAAATACAGTTTTTTTTAATTTGGTCTGTTTTCTTTTCGAGTTTTGATGGGTAAACTTTATTTTATGAAGAGTGTTCCCGGTGTCTGTATCAGCTATCAATCGCCTCATCGGGACCCACTACTGGACAACTTGTGCCTGGAATCACTGGATAATTTTGGGAGGATAAGCATTTTTTCTTCGAATACAATTTCTTGAATAAATCTATCTGGTCCACAGAAGCTGTGTCGGCAATCCAGTTTGCAACTGTTTCTTTCGTCGTTTGCTGTCGAATTTGCTGAGATCACCCTCCTACGTAATGAAAAATGATCTGTCAACTGCTTCAGATCAGCGACGACGAATAGTTGTGGACACGCGAAAGTATTGCTCAGTGACCGAATTTGCACAATACACCTTAGGAATTCTCGGTGGCAGTGGGCAATTCTTTATATTAAAGAAAAATGGCTTCTATTACAACAGAAAGACTACATAGAAGACCCCTTTTATCAGATCATCTGTTATGGCTGGTGATCTGTACCGCCCGCGCTCAACTGTTGGTTTCTTTGTCCCGCACAAACTGCCGGTACAGCGTACAATACGCTACTTTTCGCTATCATTTTTCTGTGTTTGTGAGCAAATGACCGAGCTTTAATGGGCGTCTGAACAAGACGCCAGATACCATGAAACGAACAAAACAATAGCGAAGACCAAGAATCTTTTTGTCAACAACTCACGAATCGTTATACTTATCCATTGAGAAATACGTTTTTGCCGGTGACACGAATTTTGACCCAGGTTACATTACGCGTTTCGATCTACACAGTACCGTGGAATTAATCCGGTGTGGGCTGTTCATACCCCAATGAGGCATTCCCAGTATACTCCGTGCTATCCGACACAGATTGCGACTTTTCAAATATCGAGATATCAGTGTTCAAAATATTAGGATGTGTACAGTATTACCCGATGGCTACTAACCTTCACGTTACTATCACCCACTGCTGTGAGGCCTTGTAATC